GTCTAATTTGTTAAATAGAATCCTTTAAGCTTCTGTGTTCTAATTTATCATATATGGTCCGATCCGCCTAGAGATTTTCATAAAAATTTAATGGTACATCTTATAAACTAATAGTTTTTCATTTTATCGTTTTTCATTGTGTTGTTGATTATTTGATCGTTCTGAAACACCGACGAAAATCCTTTGATAAAATTTTATGATAATATATTATCAATATGTAATCATATCCTTTTCAATACTTGAAGATATGTACATATACATGTCATTCAAAAACCAAATGCCACTAATACAAGGTAATAATATAATCATCATGCAAGCACAAACACATACACTCAAAGAGATACGTAGGTACTTATAAATACACCGAATCGTAGAACTCTCACAAACATGCATATACACCAGGTAATAGATACAACGGAGAGGCAAAGACAACAGCAACAGAAAAAAATCAATGGCAGCTGCAGTAACCACATTGGCAACAACAATAAGACCAACATCACCAACCAAGACGCAAAAACGGTGGCAGCAGCAAGGATGAAGAAGTAGATGTAGAAGAAACTAATAAACAAGCCGAAGACATGACATGAATAATAAAATCTGGTAAAACATCATTAAAATCATCAGAAGCAGCAGCATCATCATCATCATCGTCGTCACTAGCGTCACTATTATAACAATAAAAACAACAACATATAAAAGTTTCGACACACACCCCAATACATATTCACATGTACCATCAGTGTTACGTTGTTACGGAGAAACAGTGTCCAACACCCTGTGGCGTATGATGAACAAATAACCACAAGACGAACAGTAGACGTTGACAATGATGGGCTAGAATAGAATATATTTGTGTATGCGTGAGAGTGTGTGTGTGTGTATGAGGGTATGTTTGCTCAACGAATAAATATGCCATTGGGTATATTTGAAGCAATTAAATCTAAGCTAAATGGTCATTAATTCAAAGATATCCATCCATGAATAAAAATCAAAATTTTATGAAAATGATTTGCATTTGAATGGAGTTTGGTGTTTTTGGTATACCAGAAAAGAAGAATATGAAACTAGCAAATATGAATATGAAACTAGAATATGAAACAGCGACAATTCATTATATTTACAAGGGTGCAAATGCATTTTGGTGAGAATTTTCCACAAAAAAGTTATTCGTGATCGAATTCAACCGTGATTTCTTTATATTTGGCTGGATAACCACATGTGGTTATCGTTAGAGCACTCCATAAATAAATATTTTGTATCTCGTACCATCGCTCGTTACCGTGATACTGGTAGCGTAGCCCGACGTCAAGGAAGTGGACGGAAGAATAGAGCAACATCAGCAGAAAGTAAAGAAGCGACTTGATCGAAACCCGCGTCCCAGTGGCCGAAAAATGGCTCGTGAGCTGAAAATATCGAAATATTCCATTCGGCCAATATTGAAAAATGAGATCGGGGTAAAGCCATTGAAATTCCAAAAAGTGCAAGAACTTACACCGCAACAGAAAGAAAATAGACTCAAAAGAGCTAAAGAGTGGCTTCGCTTGGCCGAAAGTGGTGAACTGCCGAATTTGGTTTCCTCCGATGAGAAAACATTCGTTGTCCAGCAGTTTGTAAACAAATATAAAAAGGTCGGCTAAAAATAACAGAAGATGGTCGCTCTCCGCTCGCATTAATCTCCCGTGGCATCAAAATAAATGCCGAATATTATCGTGAAAATATTCTGGAGGGTGTATTAAAGCTTTGGGCACTCAGCATCATCGCACTCAGTACGCGCCACCCAATTTGGTTGTATATGGTTACAAAATGAGGTTCCTCGCATCATTTCCAGCGCACAATGGCCACCAAAATCTCCGGATATCAATTCGTTGGACTATTGTGCTTGGAGTATTTTAGAAAGCAAGGTTGGCACTAAAAAATACCAAAGTGTCGATAACCTTAAGCAAGCGCTTCGACTAATTCGAACACATCTAAACTTATTCTAAAATGTGATGCTATATCCGACATTTTTTGTTTTCATGCAGTTTTTTTTAACTCTCCCTGTATGTGTGCACATGAGTCGAAGGGGGAGGTTCAATTGAAAATGATAAGGCCACAGTCCGTTAAAATTCGAAGTATGATAATGCTCAGGTGGTGAAATAACTGACTGGCTGACTGACTGAGAATAAACGACCATACGAAACAGCTAAAGCTAAAAAAGTACAGGGTTGCCCGTATTCGACGGACCCATCTGGCAACGCCATAACTTTTGACAGAGATGTCACATCGCTTAATGACATACCGCGCTTGAAGCGTCAGCCCAAGCAGATTTTTACCATGAACCAATACACGCAACGCGAGAGCTCTGAAATTTACAAATGACCTGTATGTCGGTACATCTGATCGAATTCAGTCTAGCAGCAAATTAATCAAATTTGGAGAAAATCGGTTCAGATATAGCTACAGGTCCCATATATATGTTTTATCCGATTTGGGGTTTTAAGTCCCTCACATGCGTAATATGCACTCCAGAATAATGATATTTGTTACCGGACATGTGATACTGCTCGAAAATACCTCTGTAAAATTTTATGGAGATCGGTTCAGATTAGGATATAACTCCCATATATATCCGATATCAGGTTTACTGTGCTCCAAATGGCTAATATCAGCCCAAATGCGCTGAATTTTGGGCTATTACGACTGAGTTCATCCTATAAACCAGTACTTTAAATTTCATGTAAATCGGTTTAGATATAGCTCCCTGATTTGGGCTTTAAAGTCCCTCAAAAGCGTAAAATGCATTCCACAAGAATGATCATTGGTACAAGATATCAGATACAGATCCGAAATAAGTGTATCAAATTTTTTCAAGATCGGTTCAGATTTAGATATATCTCCCATATGTATCCTCAACCGATTTCGGTTTAATTGTGCACCAAATGGCCAATATCAGTCCAAAACTCCTGAATTTTGGTAAATCCAACCAAATTCAGTCTAGAAGCAAGTTCGTAGAAAATCGGTTCAGATATGGCTATAGCTCCCATATATATGTTTCATCCGATGTTTGGTGTTTAAGTCCCTCACATATATATCCTTAGAAAATGTCTAATATCAGCCCAAATGGAGTGAATTTCGGGACGTACGTTTCCTCTTTCTGCAACTCGGCTCCGATATATATTTTTTTAATATAATCCTTCTCCAAGTGATATCATGCACTCTATAGCAAACTATAACTGCTCTAAAGCTAAATGTTGAAATAAATTCTTTTGTTACGGGAGCTCTCCTAAATATGCATAGTGGTGTAGGGTATCATACACTGTCCGACTATTGACTTTTCCTTACTGGCTTTTAGTATGAATTTCCAAAAACACCGCCTCCTTACTCATCAACTTCAACCAAATTGCAGATATTAGTCAACATTGGACGTTTTCATAAGTCATTCTCAGTGTGTATTTTTTATAATAATTTTTCTCCAAGGATTGGTGTTAGCTCGACATCTCTGCTCCTGTGGCGCCTGTACAAGAATGGTCCTCAAGGATGACTGTTTGAAGATCTGTGTACAATTGATAGTCCAAAACGTTGTCAATGTTAGTGACTATCATCTAAGCCCGCTGAATATACATGTGGAGGATTTCGGCATTCAGGAGTGCTGTTCGACTCAGAGAACTAGGTGAATGGCGCAGTCAACCCTTTGGACATTCTGCGATTCTAAGGCGTGTAAGGAATGTGGGAGAGATAGACTTTGCAAGTGACTATATTTCACCACGACTAAGCTTCTATCCACCTGACCTACACATACCTGCTAGAGACGCGTGGGCTCAAAACAATCCACCTTTCCGCGGCATAGCTGTTTATACCGACGGTTCAAAGATGGAGTGTGGTACGGGAGCTGGTGTCTTCTGTGATACTCTTAATGTTCGTGAATCCTACAAGCTTGGAAATGACTGTAGCGTATTTCAGGCGGAAATAATTGCGGTCAAAAAGGCCATTGACCTGCTGGTCACGAGGAGCATTGAAGTCGGTAGTCCGGTGACTATATATGTCGATAGTCAAGCGGCACTGAAGGCCTTGAGTTCCTTTACAATCAAGTCTAGGGCTGTTTTGAACTGCAGGGAAGCCTTGGAAACACTGGGTTATCCATCAAGCTCTGTTGGGTTCCTGGACATTTTAACATCCCAGGTAACGAGACTGCAGCCGAATTGGCCAGACTAGGATCCGAAACAACTACAATTGAAGTAGACAACTCGGTTAAACCATCACTGTGCTATTTCCTACAGGTTATTCACAAACATTACTCTGAGAAAATTTAACAAAAATGGCTGGATGAAATAGGATGCACCATCCCCAAAACCTGATCTAAAACTTGTGGTGGGTATGATCACAGGTAACTGTAAGGTGAGGGCTATGACATCGAAATGGGACAGCGACGGCATTGACTACTGTAGGATCTGTCAAGATGAAGAAGAAATCGAGACAATCGAACACTTGCTCTGCCACTGCCCAGCACTCATTAATGTGAGACACAGGCTAGTGGGAGAACTAGTGTCACATGACTTGTCGTCTTTTTCTAACACTGACCCTGTAGTAATACTTCAACTAGTAATACTTCCTCAGCCGTAGATTACACTATACTACACTACCCTTTATCTTCACCTTTTCTACCAATCACTTTTTCTTCTATCTCTTAACACTCTTTTCTAGGATGAACACAATGGACCTAGAGGTCTCCGAGTGGAGCGGTTGCCATATGGTAACCGCGCGTCCTTTAACCTAACCTAACACTACCTAGTGACTATCAGGGACGTTGCATACTCGTACTCTTTTTTCCCCACTTACATCGCTTCCGATACTTATCTGCCTTGTCTTCATTAGCCAACAACACTTCATAATTCTATCGAATGTCAACTTCACTTGTAATGAATAAATTACTTTTTACATTTTAATGATTTTCTTATTTGCAACGAAAAGCAAAAAATAATTGCCACAGTTGTTTCATTTATTTTTCTTCCTTTTCATTTCAGCTCCAACATTTCAACCGAACAACAAAATAACAAGGATTATACATTTATAATTCGCTTCTGAGGACCTTTCAATTTTTCTCATGGGAAGCTGATAAATTGATGCCGGGTAACAAAAAAACAAAAAGTAATTATAACTGTACGAACGAAATAGAGTTAAGAAAAGCCAAGGAAGAAACGCAAAGAAAAAGAATAAGTGTGGAAATAGTGCTTTCTCTAATCTTCCTCTTTTGGTATACGTTCGCTGTCAGTTTGTTTGTAAGAGTGGAGAAAAAACTGCAGACACTAATCATGTAAAACATTAATAAAACATGGCTAATGTGCAACAAGGGCAACTGCAACAACAACTACAATTTCAACAGCAACAATATCATCATCGTCGTCAACAGCATCAACACTACCAGCATCCGAGGCAACAAGAAAATCAGCGAAACTATCATTGCCAACAGCTCCAACAACACCTACTAAGTAAGTAGCAGTCACAATTTTTTTTCTATTCTTAACTAAGTGAATTTTTGTTGAGAATTTTAAATATTTAATATCTGATAGCAAATGCAACTTTGACAAATGACATGGTACTTAAAAAAGGTATATGAAAGTTATCTGGTAATACTAATTCGTTAACGGCAACTTGGACTGAAAATCCCCCATTATTAATCACTGTAAAACGAATGAAGGTTTATATAGAAAATTAATATAAATTACGATGTTTTTCTATGAAAGGAAGGGTATATTAAGCAAAGACCTAAAATGGTAAAGACTAGACAAAATGCATTTTGAGCAAATGGTTTGTGTCTAAATATAGTAACAGCTTATGACATAAGCATGTTAATATAAAAACAATAATTACAGAAGCGGAAGACAAATAAAAGGGTCAAAAATCCAAAAATATACGTCCCATGCATATCTTGAACCGATTTCGGGTTAATTGTGCACGAAATGGCCCGTATAAGTCTAAATGACCTGTATTTCGGTACAATCCACCGAATTCAGTCTAGTTAATCAAATTTGGAACCAATTTCTAAGTTAATCAAATTTGGAGAAAATTGGTTCAGATATTGCTTTAGCTCCCATATATATTTTTCATCCGGTTTGGGGTTTTAGTCACTCACATTCGTAATATGCATTCGACAACAATGATATATGGCACCAGTTATCTTATAAAGATCGGAAATACCTTTGCCAAATTTTATCAAGAACAGTAAGATTAGGATGTAGCTTTCATATATATCCTTAATCCGATTTCAAGTTCATTGTGAAAAAAATGGCTAATATCAGCCCAAATGTAGTGAATTTCGGGACGTACGTTTCCATTTTCTGCAACCCGGCTCCGATATATATTTTTATACCCTCAGCCATATGGCTACAGAGGGTATATATCATTTGATACGGTCAAAACGTGCCTAGTCGAAATAACGGCTTTAGACCCAAGGTCTCTTTGGACCAAATCCGTTTCAGAACATTTGGAGTCGATCTACCGATGTCCGTCCGTCTGTCTGTCTGCCTGTCTGGCTGGCTGGTGCGCACGATAACTCTCGAAGGGAGTATCTGATTTGACCCAAACTTGGTACATCGCCATATTTTTGTCAAACTTAGATCGAGTTCGGAGATGGGCAATATCGGTCCACTCCTTCTGGTACCTCCCACACAAAATGTCAAAATTTTCAAAGAAAATAATTTGTTGCACAGAAAGAGAAAGGATAATCCGATTTTCTTCGAACTTTGCGAATCCTAATATTTTCATCAGTTCTAAGTCAGGTGCGAAAATGGACAATATCGGTCCACTCCATCAGGGACCTCCCCCACAAAGGGTCAAAATTTTGAATAATTACAACTCTTACAAAATGTGATGTAAGAGTCTGATTGTCTTCAAATTACACACATCGCAATAATTTTATTAGCCCAAGGTCTGGTGCGCAAATGGAATGTATCGGTCCACTCCTTCTGGTATCTCTCCCACAAAAGGTCGATATTTAAAAAAAAAAAATATTTTTTGCACACAAAGAGAAACGATAATCCGATTTTGCTCGAACTTTGCAAATGGTAGTATTTTCATCAGTGCTAGGTAAGGTGCGAAAATGGACAATGTCGGTCTACTCCATCAGGGACCTCCCCCACAAAGGGTCAAAAATTTTAAATAATTACAACTTTTATAAAATATGATGTAAGAGTCCAAACATCTTCAAATTTCACACATTCCAATATTTTTATAAACCCAAAATCTGGTGTTAACATGGAATGTATCGGTTCACTCCTTCTAGTACCTCCCACACAAAGTGTCGAAATTTTGAATACCCATGAAGTTCATAAAACGCCAAATTAAAATCCGATTCCATTTAGACTTGGCACATCTTAATGTTTTCATCAACATAAGATCTGTTATAAAGGTGGTATAGATCGAACTATTTCTTCTGGTACCTCCCCTATACATAGTGTTCAAGATTTTGAAAAACAAAACACACAAATAAAGCTAAATAAGCATCCAACTCTTTTCAAATTTCACACACACAAATATTTTTGCTAACACAAAATCTGTTGTGAAGTTTCTATATATATCTGCGAACCCCTTCTGGTACCTCACCCACAAAGGGTCACAATTTGCAATAATTTTATCTGTCATAACTTTCGAAACAATTTAGCAATTCTTTACTACTTGCTCAAATATTTCTCTCAATAAGAAGCCTGCTATGAATATAAAATTTATCGGAATTTATGATTTCGCATAAAATTTGACATAGATATCTTTTCTTGTAATTTTGCCCCATATTTCGCTCAATATTTTTTATTTATATCAGATGAAGTATAAAAATGGAATATTTCGGTAGACTCTATATGGCACATCACGCACATTTTAACATTTTCTAAAAATTATTACATATCTCACATAAAGTAAGGGGTGAGTCGATATAATCCATACTAGGAACGTTGGAATATTTATATCATATTTTTGAGTCTGATACGTAATGGATAATATTGGCCCATTCCTTCGGAATCGGCTCCATAGAGGGTCAAACGTTTGAATAATTATAAAACTAGTCATATATATTTCGAGTATTTAATCGAACATAGGCTGAGGGTATATATCTGTCGGCAATACCGACTGATACTTTTTAACTTGTTTTAATATAACCCTTCTCCAAGTGATATCATGCACTCTATAGCAAACTATAACTGCTCTAAAGGCAAATGTTGATAGGTGGTATGATCTACTTGAAATAAATTCTTTTGTTACGGGATCTCTACTGAATATGCACAGTGGTGTAGGCTATTATATAGTCGGCCCCGCCCGACTTTTGACTTCTCCTTTTTGTCAGACTTTTAAAGTTTTATTCATTTTTCAACATTTACCTTTTTCGGAAAAAAATAATTACCCTTTAGTAAAACGACTGCAAAATGCAACTACATCCAATTTTTCAGTCCAAAACTATTTCAACGTCTCCATATGTAAACCCCAGAAAGAAACAGTGACCTCAATATCAAATTTTAGAATTTTCAGCTCTATCCCTTCACCCAATTCCGAATTTAATAACGTTTAGTACACAATTCCAAAACAATCGAGTACATCTCTCCATCCTAGACACCAACAGTGATCCAGTAGTTAGTAGTTTTCGAACAATTATAGCACGAATTTGATAAGCCACCATCATATCTGAATCGCAGGTACCAACAATGACCTTAAAATCAAATTTCAGGATTTCAGATGAATACATTTACTTAATACCAATACCAGAGTTAGTACTTTTACTACTTTTCGTACAAATATAGGTCGAATTTCCAAACCCACCTCCAAATCTCAAAAACCGACACCAACAGTGATATATGTACCAAATTTCAGCTCTATTTCTTCTCCCAGTACCAAATATAGTACTTTTTGTATAATTATGGTACATGTTTCGAAAACCACCTACATATCTCAATCCTAGATACCAACAGGGACCTCAATAGTCAATTTCGGGAGTCCAGATCTTTCCCTTCACCCAATACCCAAATTATTATCACTTAGCACTTTTCAAACAATTGTAATATAATACCAATAATAAATGTAGTACAATTTATTACTAATTATACGCATGGGCGATGCCACCTCTATATCTCAATTCCAGATACCAACAAAGACTTCAATATCAAATTTTAAGATTTCAGTTTTACCCCTTCATCCAATTCCCAATTTTGTAATATTTAATACTTTTCGTACGATTGTAGTACACATTTTCGAAACCAATCTCCAAAAAAAAAAAACACTTCGAAAAACCCTTTAGTTTGTCTATCCTACACAACATCAATGGCTCTCACTTTAATTGTTAGATTTCCGGCTTTATTCCTTCCCCAAATACCATACTTAATGCTATTTTGAAGTTTTCGTACTTGTTAGTACGTATTTAAAAATCCCCCGCCCTGTATGAAACAAACCGAACAAAAGTCGATTCTAATGCCAAATTTAGACTTTCAACTTAATCCCTTACCCAAATGCCAAATACCATAGTACCATGAAGTACTTTTTAGTACGTATTTCGAAAAACCCCTCCAAATCTCAAGATTACACACTTACAGAGATCCTTGTTCACGGATAAGTGAACATGTTTTTATAATAAAAGAGAATAGCGGGGCTACCTAGCGGATTTGTTAAACAGGGATCTTCTTAATACAGTCCACATTAAATAAGATAAGAAAGTGTGGTGAGCAGACCTTCGAGTTAGAAATAAATAATGCAGAATTTTGAATTGCTACATGTGTTATGGTGGCGTTAGATTATGGCATGTAATCTTTACTCAGACTGATAAGCAAGTGCAGCATGTTTGCTTGCCACATGTGAGATAGCTATACGTGTTTATGACCTCCCCCTAAGGTTTATGGTAGCATGGTGCATATGCACGGAAAGGACTTTGTGTCTTTTAATTATTGATCCCGGTTTATATTGGTCCTTCGAGCCGGATCGGTAGAGGATAAATGTTGAAGAATTTGCCTTAACATCGAGGAAATTCTGTCAGGCTAAAATTGGTCTTCAAGAGTGGAAAATTACCGAGCTAAAACTACAGCTGGAATTGTTCCCATACAGAGGAAATTTATAAGCCGAATACAAGGATTCTGAGTCAGAAAGAGACTTTAGCAAAGAGGACTGTGGTGGCGGCGCACACCGAGGTCTTCAGACAGAAGGGGTGAGGCATATTCCCAGGAGGACGAATCGGTGAAATGGTCGCCAATGATGAATGTAAAGCAAGAGGCTGCCACTCTTCTCGAAATGATGGGTACAATTATGAAAATAATGAGTACATTAAAGACGGAAGAAGCCATAGAATGCGTATTTGACTTCGCCCAAGAAAAACTTAAGGACGCGGCAAGAGACGTAACATTGTATCCAGGCGTTCATAGGCGGTTGATTGAGCAAGTCGGATGACCCTACACCACAAGGTGGTCAGGGTATTATGTCCTTGTGCATTTGTTTGTAACAGGGAAAAGGAAACGAGATA